GTGCAGAGGCTGGAAACGAACACGAAGATGAAAGGTAACCAGTCAAGCAAAGTGAAAAACACGCAACATAGTAATCACGATACGGCGAGCCTGTTTCAGTTTCAGACACCTATTAGACTTGCATTTACATACATACGGGTGGTTTCTGGTGCTGTCTTTTGACTACCAAATCGAATGAGAGAGAGGGAGACAGTAAGGGTTAGGGGTACTGGAGGCAGACCGTGACCGTGACACAACAAATGATAGCATTCTAGTTTAGATCAAGAATGCACTTCATTCGTCCATTGTGGACAGAAGTTTCGGGGGCAGAAAACGTCGCTAACACTTTTGCTTCGGCGTACACGCAAAAAAACTGCGTGTGGGGGTGGGGGGCTTGTCAATGTGATACTCAGCGAGAATGCGTAGAAACTAAAGCATGAATGATATTGGATCATATTACTTTGTACAAACGATTTTTGCATTTCAACTATGCCTGGCAAAAACAGCCGAGAAAAGCTCCCCTCAGTATGGCTAAAGACCATAGTTCAAAAACAACTGACGGGGATAAATATATAATAGTCTCAGCCACAGTCAGTATTATTATTATTGTTATGCTAATCAAAGAATTGAGGCGGGTATATCAAACAAAAATAAGAATTATCCTTTATGTTTACCGTCCATTATTGGATCGTTCTGCTCAATCACAGGTTGAGTGAAAGTAGGAGCAATTTTTTGTGACAAAGTTTCCAACCTGGAAAGGACTTCAATGGGCGCGGATCGATCATATTGTTAACCGGGTATCATATACCAGACTAAGCGTACTACAATTGCGGTAGGTACAGAAATGGTGTGTGTGTGTGTGCGTAGATTTACAAACACACAAGATTCGGAGAAATTTACCTGGCGTTCCTGTTCCAATTGGACTTGTTTCTCAAGCTCAGCTTTCTTGTCCGCATTAACTGGAAAAGAAATGCAAGTGAAAACTTACTCCGAAACAGAACACATACAAAGAGATACAGCGAGAGGGAGGGAGGCAAATTACGCATTGAAACAACAGAACTGATGTAGCAGTCGGGGTTAATTCGAGTGATTTGTTCCGCAGTGGATAATATGACCAATCTAACACACACAAAAGAGTTCGGGTTTGCACGATCAGCCCGTAAACAATCCATATGCATACATTCTTGTTCCTCCTTCCTTCTCCTCCCGTACAGACAGGGAAGGAGGGGGACGGGAGAAATGTCACAAATTGGTCACTAACACCCTGGGGTCACCTTTGTGCCTGCACGACGATGGGCGGATGACTGTGTGTGTGTGTGTGTGTGCACACGTACGAACTACAACTAACGCGAGTTTGTCACGCAGACCGATCGCCGCACTGCCGTCGTTCTGTCTGAACCGAGAACGGTAGTTGCTTTTGCTGTTTGCCGGGGACAAACGACACCAGCTGCAAATCGCGCTGCACATCCAACTCTGGCCTCGCAATCACTCAGTCCGTCAAATCTGAGGATTGACCTCTCTCCGCCTCACACACACACAGCATGAGGATGTGGGGCTTGGTTGTGGAGATGAATAGGAATTCGTCAAAGACGGTCGAGCAATAGGCGTGTTACAAACACAGGCAGAGTACATAATCCACGCACACATGAATGAACCCCGGGTGAAAAAAACGTTACCCGCCATAATAATCCGCATCAAATCGGTCAGGCGGAACACACAAACACAGTGCAGAGAACAGGAGAACGAGAGCAAGTGTGTGTGTGTGTACAGGTGGCAGGATTAGGGAAACGGTGAAGTCAAGGCTCTGGGGGAGAAAGCAGGACAGCTACTTTTTCTCACACCAGATCAGAAGAGGCACGCAAGTCCAACCGGGAGTGGACTTGGTTGGTTTGGTGATCAGATGTTGAGTGGATACTCGAAGGGACAATTATCAAGCTAAGCGTGCGTGTCTGTGTGTTTGCGTGAATGGATGTTTGAATCAAAGTCAAGTTTGTTGTCCAAAAGGACACGTGCAGGTTGGCACAACCAAGCACAAGTCTATATTAGCCCACCAACCGAGTATGTTAACGGGACGTGGTTACATTGATTGTAACGACTATAACACTATAGGGAATCATCAGCTCATTGCCAGAACCATGATGGCCACGAGAAACAAACAAACAAATGAACAGACTATAACAGACATCAAAAAACATTTCAAAATGGCTTTCGTTTGAAGACTGCACGATGTTCGACTGCACACATGAGTCGTTTCCCAGTTCGACCAGAGTAGATCGCAATAGACGGACCAATGTTGTGACGTGACGCGGAAATATTCAGTGTCTGTCGGTGTTCGAACACCGTACACACTGAAAGTGGTGTGGGCGTTCATACGATCCAGTACCGAGACCTCAATGCATAGATAGAGTAAAATTAATTCCATACTGCAACAGTCATCACGCAAGGTAATCGGGACCGCGTTGCCTACTGCGTTGAGTGCGGCGGGTGGTGATAAGTGGGCTACTGCTCGGACATCCCAACCTTTATTGACCTCTTTGTCTCTCTCCCTTTGACCCTTTCTCCGACCTGTAACAGCCCCTCAAGCAACTTGGTTGTCGCTCGCCAAAGGTCGTTGCCAAATAACACTGCAAGTAATTTACCATGAAATGGATTGCAGATTCTAAAGCCTCGTCAATCACTGAATCTGGGTGCCTTCAACGTGAGGATTCTGATGCAAGTAGGTTAACAAGCTTGTCTGGCGTGTACAATGGAATCCTTAGGGATCGATACTTGCTGCATATCGGAGATTCGAATTCAGGATCCTATTACTATAAGTCACTTGAGCGCGCCAGATTTGTCCTCGAGGTACGTTCTTCGTACACCAGGCGACGACGAAGCCCGTTCAGTAGGTCAGCGCGGGGTAGGTATTGTACTCAGTAACAGGACTGAGTCCGTGTTTAACGATCCCCGTCAACGGTCGTTTATGTGCAGTGCATCTCCAGGGTTCAATCAGCATCCAGAAGGAAAGCAACACCAAAAGGTGTTTGTTTATTGTATCGGCATATGCATCGACCAATTACAGTTCTGATACCCAAAAGGAGGCTTTCTACGATGAACTCACCGATCTCTTTCGGTTGAGTCCAAGCTCCGAAAGAGTTGTACTTGCAGGTGACTTTAATGTGCAAGTAAGGGAAAACTGAACACATCAGAAGCTTACCTAGGCAGTAGATGTGCTCTACCCTGCCAGCAAACAGATAACGGCGATCGAATTCTTCAGTACTGCGCAGACCATTATTTGATCCTATCCAGTACGGAATTCCGACACAGCTCTCAACGTATGATATATATATATATATATAATATCTGC